GTTCATTTATATGTGCAACATGTACAAAATGCTAGGAACAGCAGGAAATCTGTTAACCTTCCTGCATATCTGTTTAATATTCATTAAAATCTAAACTTTATAGAAACGAGCGTAGTCTAACGCATAGCGTAAGACTCCACAAAATTTTTCTGTGGCAAAATATACCCAAGGGTTTTTTGAAATACGCTACTAGAAATGAGCCAGCCCATCAAGTCTCTATTTGTTTTAGAACTCTGCCCAATGTTTTCTAAGGGGTTTTTAATTAAAGAAACGTAAAGGTAACCGCGTAAATGTGGCAGAGTGGAATGTATTTTTCGCCCTCCACTGCCGACTGGTGTCAAAAAAGGATCCACTTAATTTGACCGAGATCCGGCAGTATTTCTCTCTCTGAACCTTTGAAACTGTCATTCCAACTTGCCTGCCAAAGTGCCAAGTGAGAACATTGTTTTCATTTATTATGTAAAGTAGTCCACAAATGCAGTATTACGGACTATTAATGAAGAATAGACAAGCTAAAAGCTTATTGTACCTACACATCTATACACCGGAATATTTTTCAAAATGTGGGTTACGATTTATAAACAGCCTGGTTAGTTTCGTAGGCATAGAAACGTTAAACAATCGATTCTTAGACAATAACATTCTGTAATAATGAAATCAATTCAATAATATGTCTTAATTAAACATAATAATATCAAAGACACTCTTGAGAAATACTCAAGTATACACATTATTTTTAAATCGATAGTCATATTTGTCAAAATATCTCCGTTACATAATTTTCTCTCGCGCAAAGTGAATTTGCGCAACCTAAACTTTAATAGAGGTCTAAATCTACATAATACGTATATATATAATTATACATATTTTCGCTGATGTCGTTAATTGTCATTTCCTTGTCGTTTTTTGGAATACAAATAATAGGTTAAGATTCCTTTTGATAAGTCTCTGTGTATATCCGTTTTCCTGAAACTTTTAGCTAAATATCTACTTTGACAAGTATCATTCATTATGTCCATGACTACTACATAAATAAGAAATACTTGTATTGACAATTTTACTTTTATGGCCAATGTCTTTGCAGGCTGTAAGGTAACTAAGACTAATCTCTTTGAGTGATGATACTGTGTATCTACAGGGACCCGATATCTGCGGATCATCTAACATGAAACGGCGTTTAAGTAAACGTTCCAAAAACGTGAATTTAGAAGAGTGCAAGCTGTTTACTATGTGCTAAACTGTTAGGAATGTGTATTCTATAAGATGTTTAAAACATATTTGGCAGGTGTAAGAAATTGCGAGTGGTTACGTACGAACAACAAAATTATCATCATTTTCTTGCCCCACACACGCTTTTACGATGTTATTTATTCGCGATTTAACTCTCAAGAATTTGAAACTATTTCTCAATTGTTTGCTATACGAGTATTTCCTACACCGAAACACTCGTTTGAGGTTATGCTATGATTAAAGATTTGCACTGTTCGAATCTCAGTCAACTGTGGACTAAAACTCACCTTCGTCGGGCGGTTTATTTCCGAAAGCGAAATCCTTAAATCCTCGCCAATTAACAGTGTATCGTCCGCTGCGTCGCACCATCATCGGGATTTAGGTAAACACAGCACGAAGCGTGCACTCTCGAACGGATAACACGTTGCTCACTAGCGGGTGGACAGCGGCATTACCCGGCACCGGTAGATATTCGCAACAGACGTGCGGGATCGATGCGTGGCGGCGACGCGTCACCGCCGAGCCGCGGCGTCAGCTGAGCGCGGCACGTCACACAGGCGCCGCCCGCCCGCCGCGCTTGCGCAAACCCGCCCGCCCTGTACTCGACGCCCGCCCAGTCGTCCGCTCACAGTTGGCATGTCGTCTTCCACGCTCCGGATCGCTTTTAAATACGATTAAGCATTCGCCTCTTCCTTCAGTAAACGTTCACTGAACAAAGATATAAAATTAGCGAGTAAATGATGACTGATGCTGGACAGATTTAGTCACTCAGCAGCTGACGTGCAGCAGTAAATTATTTGTTGGCGTTTAATGTTACGGATGAATGTTTGCACGCTTCTAAAGTGGCAAACTAAAGTTTACTAGCGCACGCGATGTCTAACAGGTCTGCCGACAAAGCACTACACTAGGTTCCAGCTAGACTTTTATTGCGTGACTAAAATAGAGATTACGGAAGTTGGCTACATACTTTATTGAAGTTGTAGGAAGACGTTGCGAATAACATCCGCGCACATAAAAATTACTCTTAGTTATTTATTGAGAATGAAAAGGTTTTCGCACTATTATATACCTGCGTTGTATATAAAGATGTCTTATTTAAAGCTATGAAAATGTAGCCATAAAGCTAGGCACATAAAAATATTACGAGCGGTCTATAAAAATTGCGTACCACTCACATTCGATACTTCATGTACGTTTAAACGTTAATGTTACGAACTTTTTATTTTTAGACCAAACGAAATATGATAAAGGCACATAATCTTCAAGTGTGGGTACGAAACTCGTGGAAGTAGGTATCTACGTAATTATAATCTTTTGAAAAACAAACGACATGCAATATTTTTTGTGGATAGCCCGTAGTGTTGCATCAGTAAGCACATGTTTGAATAACATTTACCTTTATCGGGAGAACAATTAAATCTGCGATGCCCTATTGACCCCATATTATTTATACCTAGTATGTCTGTGCGTCACATTCGCAACATTTTATTGGACTCGCGTCATTGTTTGTCAAATTTTATTATTGGCACAATTTTTATGACAAATGATAACATCAGCATCATTGAGAATTTATCGAATCATCACGTGTTTCTGTTATTAAGTCCTTGAACGAAGGGGGAATATTATTTATCTTTGTATATCTAAGTACCTATTGATGATTGACGACGCCTTCTTAAGTTAAAAGCTACTGTGATTGGTTGTAGGTACATCCGAGCTAGCAGTTGGCAACATTTATCGCTGTGACCGTTACTCATTAAATGGACAGCAAACAGAACTGCACTAATTTATACATGCAATACCTAGGTAATAAGTAATTATTACGCCTCTACCGCATAATAGAAGCTAAATATGTTGTCAAGAATTTTAGTAGATGGCGTTCTGTCTGTCTTTGAATACCTCCATAGGACAAAAGCATAAAAACTTCAAGAATCTATATTAATTAATATTGTATGGTGAATAGCTTGTTTTATTTTTTTTGTTCAAGCCGGCATCGCCGGAACTACTAGTTCAAATGAAACAATTATTTTCGTGTCCTTTAATCCATTTATCGAAGAAGGCTACTAAATATCACGCTGTCACCAACCTAAGCCGAGCAGCGATTGTTGCAATAGCGCGGGTGTAGCTAGCGTAAAATAAAACGGAAACCAATTCAGTCAAATGTTATATTTTACCTTTTTTTTATTAAACCAATGTCTTTAATATTATGTTAAACCCTTAATCAACTGTTGCTTGGTAGTCTTTCATGTTTTTCATGATCGTGTATAAATAATGAACATCGTTAGCTCTTGACTTCCAAGTATGGCAATTTGTTTCCTTGTCATTGTTCTATTACTGGCACGAAAAATAAACGACGGTATTCGTTTTTTAAATAAGCAGATTAAATGATACCAGACTTCAATAAATCGGTTCTTAAAATTTCGTTTTGTAGTGTAAATCTGGTAATAACTTACTCTGGCAAGGTCGTACCTAACCCATTTATTGTTGTAGTTTTTTTTTTTCATGATTTTACCATGTTTCTGTGCGTTACACATGGTCCAGTTGTCGAAGCAAATAATAATAATTATTATCATAGAGATAATATGTATTTTACACCCGTTACTACGGTCTAATGTAATAAAATCTATTCTAATGAAGATAACCTTTACTTATTTATATTTTAGAAGTTTTGTGATAGGTATCTAGTATCTACTACCCGTCACGTTGTCTTAGAAATGTATGAGGAAAAATGAAGTTTATATTTCTAGTTTCTGATATCTTACCTACTTAAACTTTATTGATTGGTATCTGCTAGTGATTGCACAGCATGAAGGTGCCTCGGCCTAGAGCAGGAGAAGTAATAAGGTGGTTTTTAGTTATTATGAGTCTATCATTCCCTCTCAATGGTAACCTGCTATTTTTACGTAGCGTTGTAGTTTCAGTTCAATCCCAAATAGAGCTGCCCACCAATAATGATAACCGATTTCAGTTCGAAGTCTTTGAATTGAAATAGTTCTACATATGTTCTTAAAATCCAGCTATGAATTTGTCCACCTTCCTCATAAGCGGAGCTAGTCGCATACAATAATGTAATTCATCTGCTCGTTTGCCTCAAATTTCCATAAAAAAATACCTTGCTGTCAAAAATTGAGACCGGTCCAGAGATTTTGCACTAAAATCGGTCAATAATTTTAGTAGAAGTAGCCCATTGTAGGTATGACTAAGTACATGCAATTCGCTCCTAGCGATACGAAGAAGGTAAAGCCGTTAGCTAACTTGGTGCTATCATTCATCTCGCCTATAATAATAATCTTAAATATCGTTCATATAATAAGAACACAGTAGATGAAAAAAGGGAATTACCACTTCATGATTCCAGGTCTAAAGTCCTCCGAGTAAGGGAAGTGAGCGAATACGTAGCTAGACTTCATGTATAGCTCACTATAGAAACAAGCAATTGATAAATTGCACCAGTGACGGATTCTAATTGCATACAATATTATTTATCGTGTCTGATTGCAACGACAAATGACTGCAAGTTATTAATTTTATTATGATGGTCGAAAATCGTCATAAACATAATTTATAACCGGATTTTCATGCAATTTTTTTTAAATAATAACGTTTTTTACAATTTCCTGTTTATTAGTGTCATCTAATCCGGCACTGAACCGCATTAGATAATTAATGAGTGTTACAATATCGCGAGCGGCGCGGGCGCGTGCTCGCCGCTGATAACGCAGGTCACAGGTTACTCTTATAAGTGAGGGCAGCATCTCTGCCGGAACAGTCAGTACGTTGGGCTATGCGGCGACGCGGTTTCCTACATTCTCTCAAAATTAAGTGATTGTTACGATTAATTGGCTTGAAAAAAATGCCGTGGGCAAGCATCAACAGGTAATTAACGCTGTGATTGCTAAGTTACTTAATATGTCATTTTATTTCAATAATTTACTGATTTACAACAATGTCTATCAATCTATTCGTTCGAAATAAATCAATCTAGAATTATTATCTTTCGTACTTCTTCCAGAAATAGACCATTATAAGTTGTTAATGATAAAATTATTATGTTTTCAGAATTTACGCGAAACCATCGAACACCAGCTCAATGGAAGCACCACCCGCAATCAGCACCCTCAAGGCTGGTCCAGCTTTGACGGCCTCTGCTGATTCAGGTGGTCGTTTCGAATTGAGCGACCACGGCTACGGCAAAAGCGCTGTCAAACTACTCCATGTACAACGAGATGCTGATTACCATTCCATCAGAGAATACGAAGTGTTCACGGAATTAAAACTGCACTCCGAAACTGCATATGTGGTGGGAGACAACAAAGACGTGGTTGCCACAGATTCACAGAAGAATACTGTGTATCTGCTGGCGAAGAAGCACGGAGTGAAGACTCCAGAAGAGTTTGGTGCGGTGGTAGTGAGCCACTTCTTGTACATGTACAAGCAAGTGGTGGAGGCTAGATGTAAAGTTGTCGAGTACCCCTGGGAGCGTCTTCATGCAGAGGCGCCTCATAACCACGCGTTCGTGTTCTCGCCGACTGCGACCAGGTGGTGCCAAGTGAGCCAAGCTCGTCACGGTTAGTAGTGCTAACGTTGTGTACGCATTGTTTTTGTGATTCTAGTTGTGACAAATATCTTATAATTTTATTTTCTTTGGCAAAACAGAGGCTGTGACTGTAAAATCCGGTTTAAGTGGTCTTCGTGTACTTAAAACAACACAGTCAGCATTCGTAGACTTCGTTCAAGACGAATACACCACACTATCAGATGCCGCTGAAAGAATATTCAGGTACTTGTAATGTTTTTTGTTATTCAGTATTTTTTGTCTAATTGCTTCTTATTTAAATTATTAACCTACTTGTGATTTTTAGAAATCTTAAAATTTTAATTTTATATTCTTTTAACAGTACTGTGGTGGAAGCCGAATGGATCTATGACAATATGCGGACGGCAGACTTCGACAATGCCTGGTTAACTGTCAAGGACGCCATTTTGGACAAATTCGCGGGTCCTGCAGACGTTGGCGTGTACTCGCCATCAGTTCAACACACCCTGTATCAAGCTGAAAAGACTGTACTGGAAAAAGTTCCAGAGGTAAGCCGAACAAACATTTTCTAACTCATTTTCGCTTATGACAAATCGTTGTTAGTATTTTTCTAATCCAATTTTCGTCGCTTATGCATTTTAATTTTTTTTGCACAAGAGGAACAAGAATTCTTTTCATAAAATTCAATTTTGATAGAGAAATAGATTCCTTGCATTATAAAAAATAGGTTTGCGAGAAAATTGCTATAGAGGTACTTGCACATTTTTAGATAGATAGCAAAATTGTAGGTATTCTCTGAATTATTTATCAATAACTATGATAACATTTGCCTTTTGGGTACTTCTAGTACTTAAGTTTATCTTTACTGCGAAGTTATTTGTGAATCTTACGTTATTTGCATCAATTCAGCCTATTTTGATGAAGTAATTTTAGTGCCAGCCTCGTGCCATGATAAATCTTCGAATTTGTAATGTAAACAATGAGATTAATAGCTGTATTTAGTATTAACTGTGTGACGTCTATTATGTCTGTGAAATAATAGGTCGCTAAACGGGTAATCATAGTAAATAAATAATAATACACTGCTTTAAATTTCTAAACTTTTTAGTGTTTGCATTAAAGCCTAATTAATAACGAATGAACATGAGAAATATTTATAATGACTTAGCATAAAATTAGACTCTTTTTCACTAATTTGTTTTGATTATTGGTAGAAAAACAGAAGGTACGATACAATAGATTTCACCGCTGCCATCTGTCGCCAGTACCTAACTCATTAAAAATATCTTTGAAAAAATATTTTTTCACCTAATTTTGTTTTCGCCGACATTCCACTTCAGACAAATGTGAAATGTCTTCTTGACGTTACGGAAATAAATGTTGCAAGTCTATGTTTAGCCGGTCGGTCAATAGCCGCCGGTGGCCGCACTCTAATTTCTCTCGGGAACCTTTGCACAGGATAAAACAAAGCCACGAAATAACAGCAGTGTTCAGCAAAAATATTATCATAATAAATAGTAACATATTTTCATTAACAGTACCGCAAAAGTTAGCTTCTAGATTTACCTAAGCCAAAAATGTTTATTGTATTGCTAAAATTAGTGTTCTAAAATCAAATTTCAAATGAAATTTTTTTTTAACTCAACTTTGGTTCGGTGCGGAACCAAAGTTGAGTTAAAAAAAAAAAAGAAAACTAATCAGTTAAAATTATTTCCAAAACAACAAAAAGGCACGTGCCAATATTTTTACTCACAACTACAAATACAGACAGTACGATAGTATCTTTACCCTAAATTAAGGGCCTTGTTCTTGATAGACGATTGATAAATAAAATTTGTTGTTATACGGAAGCGAATCCTCATTATTTTTGAGACATATAGTTAGTGGTAACATTGCGATATGGTCTATGGCCGATATCAGTCCTACGTCACAATCAGACTATACTTGTTTTCGAGCGACAGTCACGTGAGGCAAAGGTCGCATGTTATCGGACGCAATTAAAACCTAACTGGGGGCCTATAATTATTATCTGTATTTTTTTCGTCCAAGATTTATTGTGTTGACCTTGTATTTTATTTTTGCGTGTGATGGTCTGAAATTATAGTATTGATTTTTTTTATTTAATAATTAGTTGATTTTAAATCATATAAGTATTACATATACATAGCTTACACATACATATACATATGCATCAGTTATTATTGTTTTGGTATTTTAGTAGTATTCCTTTATTGAAGTGCATATCACAAGTTAAGAAAGAATTATTAATGTAGTTGTATGCCACACGTTGCATATTTCCCAGCACGAATATAATTATTATGAATTATTCAGTGGTATCGATTCATTTCTAACAATGTAGGCAGTCCGTGCCATGTCTAGCACATTAACCACATTCATCGGTAACAATATCAAAAACTGCAAGCTCATCATAGAATAATAAATCATCAGAATGAGAAGCATTTTGAACAAAAATTGTGATATATAAAAACCCGCAGTCTTTGATGACGAAAATGTTCAAAATATTTTACCATTTTCTTTTTTTTCTTTACAGATCAATTGGATCAAAATGACAATGCCGAACAAGCACTACCTCAATATCGATATGTCAAAATTCCCCGCGAATGTGACGAAAGGAGACCCTAATCATAATATCTATCAACCTATCGACAAGCCAGCCGGCCTCATCTACGCGCAGCTACGCCGCAAGCCCAAAAGTCACTTGTGACAGGGCGCCGGCGCCGCTACGCCGTAGCGCTACGCGTTTTTAGGTTATAATCGTTTTATCATTTTAATGTTGCTACCAACTAGACGTTATTTTTTACTATTTTCTATTCGTAATTCAAAATTTCTCATTCCATTCATATCCAACATTTTTACAAATTCTTTTGTTTAAAAAAATGAGTTTCGTCTCATTGAATTTAGTATAGTTGTAATATAAAAACAGGGGGAAGTTTCTGTTAATCACCCCCCAAATAATTATAATTAATGAATAATTTACTCGCTCAAAATTACAATCCAATATCGCCATTGTAAGTTTATTACTTTATAAACAACGTTAATTAATTTGTATCTAAATTCCTTGTTATGTATCTAGTCAAGTTCTTATTGTAATAATTTGATAAACTGTACTAAATGTATATTGACTACAGTTGCGAATACGGTACTATCCATATAAGTTTGTTACAAATAATCTAAGTATGACTAAGTTTAATAAACATGCAAAGTATTAATATTTGTTTCAATTATTCTCTTCTACAGGGATACAAAGAAAAAGTATTTTTTATGGACCTTTATTAAATATAAAATCACATGTTGCTTACTTTCACTACGTTGAAGTTTACAATGTTTTTAATCCTCGTAAAGAGATATAATAATGTGATAGTACTATGACGTGGACCGACATACTATTACGTATATTTTGAAATCAGGTACATCACGCTATGTATATATAAGTTACTCTTAAAAATAAATATAGCATTTTACAGATTACAGACGTTTGTTCCCGATGATCCTATCCGCCAAGGCGTATAGCTCCTCGACAGTCTGTAACAAAATAATAGTCTTTATTATTAATTAAGCAACAAAATAGCACCTTTGCAATATATTCTAGAACGAAGATACGTCTTCAGGGTAAACAAAATCAGGGGTCACATTCCCACCTGAATTTCAGATATAAAATCATTGAATACACCAAATAAATCACAGTAAGGTAAACTTAGTTAAACATTTGTATGTTAATTTGCAATATTTGTAAAAAAATAAGGTTATAAAATTAGCTATGCATCGTTTGTTTTGCCACGTGTGGTAATATTTCACTTTATTGACAGTTCTGGAATGAGATATTCGGATTTTTTGATAAAGACCACACACGTATTTCATACACGTTCGTTCGCACGCTAAGGTCGTCGAATGCCTAGCTGGGCTCCCCATGGGCCAAATCCAGCAACAGCTGCTATAAACTAAATGTCCGAATCGCTGATAGCACCCCTGAGCATGAACTTTGACTCAATAGGGCCAGTGGGGAGGGCAATAAGTAGAGGCAGGTTATATTTTTCGTCTTAACGTGACTTAACTTCACACAAGTTCAGGTTATTATAAGACTAGCTTCCGCTAGAGGCTTCACCCGCATGATATGTTGATAAAAAGTAGCCTATGTCCTATACCAGAGTGTGTATTTGGTATAGTCTATGCCAAATTTCATCCTGATCCGTCCAGCCGTTTTGGCGTGATTGAGTAACAAACATCCAAACATTAACTTTTGCATTTATAATATCAGTAAGAAGTAAGATAGTAAGATTACTTCTCAGTAAAAGCAGTATCCATATGATACTCGGAATGTTGGATTTGTTGTTATTAGAGATATAAAATGGGTAGGTAAATAAAGAGTTTGCAATAAACACCTATATTTGCGCTTCCGATATTGCAAAATTTAATTAGCTGATGTAGTTAGACATTACTTGTGTGTATTCCGATTACTGATTAGCATTACCAAGAAAGAAGTCTTGTGTTTTCTAAGTTTCTGACCTATTAGTTCGCATCGCGATAAGAGATAAACCTATTATGTAAGTTTAGATGACGTAAACACTGTTTCCCTAACTATTTTCGTTGACTGCTCAGATGGCAGATGGTCTATTTGGTAGATTAGGTAATATTGTTAGACGACTGACGTGAAAGGTAATTTAACGACAAAATTTTGCTACTTTTCAAAATAGAGGTAGGTATATGTTGAATTTAATCAGACAGAGTTTTAGAATATTTTGATATTTCAGTTGACTTATCTGTCTACTACTGTTCATGAAAGAAATCCGAGTCTTCCAATTAAATATTTTCGACTAGCAAAAGTTAAGCCTGGCCTTTGCATTCAAAGTGCCAATGCCGAAAAATTTTAGTGTCTTACGAAAATTATGGCAAATTTTCAGATACTTTGTAATGGTTAATTTTAGTTCCGTTTCTTAAGATGTACCTACCTAATATAGTTTTATCTTATTCTAGTTCATACGTAGTAAAACATAAATCACGAGTTATGCAATGCGCTTTCGACGCCGGACCGACTTGCGACCGGCGGTGTGAGATTCACTATCTATCGAATGTGTAAACAACATGCTGCCGCTGTAATACATACGTAGACAACGCATTGTTTTGTAAATATTACATCCTGGTGCACATAAACAATGCACTTTGTTTCTAATTTACATGTGTGTAGGTCACATTTACACAACAAATAGTCTATTAAGTTTTTATTATGTAATGTATATGTTATTATATATATAAGTATATATGTATATTTTTGTGCTTTTTGATGTCACTTGATGGTAAGCGATCGGGGCCTCCCATGAGCTCCCGTAACGACTTTTTGTGGGTTGTCACAGATTGAGGATTTGAGGATTGGGATGTAGAAGTTGAGAAGAATTGATTTCTAAGTGTGGGAGAGCCAAGCTTCGGTACGAATGGGTTGGCTCGACCGAAGTGATACCACGGCCTCACAGAATACCGGCGGCGGTTACCGGAGGCCGAACCCCTTCCCTTCCCCTATCCCTGCCCGATACTTATATTCGCAATCCCTATCCCTAAAAGGCCGGCAACGCACTCGTAACTCCTTTGGTGTTGCGGGTGTCCATGGGTGGCGCCGATTGCTTACCATCAGGTAATCCGTCTGCTCGTTTGCCGACTTATACCATAAAAAAAGATCGGGTTTTCAGTAATTTCGTTAACCTGGCAGAATCGACACAAGCTTTGTTTCACACCGGTAGCTTGTTGGTTTCAAGATCGAAAATAATGGAAAAACCCCTTTTTATTGTTAGAGAAGGGCCACAGTTCATTCAGGACTTCAACGAGCTGTAGAGAGGACGTTTTACTCTCAATACTGATTATTATCTGAGTGTTTGAATTTTATTTAGTATAAAAATAATTGATAACTTTCACATTTAATTAGTAATTCAATAAATAGTTTACAAAAAAAAAAAAAAAAATTGGATACGTAAGTATACACACTACAGACTCAACACTCATACACACACTTGCACTGGTTAATTTGTTGTTTTTGGGACGCAGAAATGAACTTTATGATAAGCAAGTGCTCTTGTAGGCAATATTCGTGAGTTCGGCGAACCTGAGGTCAATCACATGGTAAAACAATCCTTTTTTGGGGCAGTCGTGTAAAACTGGATTGTATCTGTACGGAACCGTACATTATTTTAACTACTCACGCCCGTGCGTTCTGCACACTCAGGTTTTGTGTATATTGCAAACAATGCAAAATGTAATTTGTGTCTTTTATAACGAATTAAAAATCAATGTTAATCTAGCATTCAAATCGGGTGGTATTATTTCTATATCCTTATAGGATTAACCCCTCATCATATCGTATCATCAAAGGTGTAGGAATCTTCTACATTTTTTTTGGTCCTTCGAGCCGGATCGTGGCGGGACCTTCGCGGTTACTTTGACCTCGCGCGCGCATTCGTGTCTCGTGTACGTCAACGTGACGTGGACTTAAGTTCCGTGCGATCACCAGTGTAATCTACACACATCATCGACTGGAGCATCGCTAGCTTAAGCCATCTCGGTCGTGTTCATTGAATCGCGATACTTCATCATCTTCATCTCATCTGTGGCGCGAGAGGTCGCGCACGCTGTCAGCTTCGTTGGAATCACCAGCAGGGGCGTAGGACGTCACTACTGTAACGTCGCATCTGGATCATCATTTATCAAGTAAGACTGTTCCTTTATTTTTCAACATGGAATCTCGTATAGCCCGTCAATCTGAAATCATCTCCAGTATCACTACCATAAAGGTCAACTTTAATAAGGACTCTGATTCCCGCAAAAATGCCGAATACATCAAAAAACGGTTAGGCGCGCTAGACGCTCTCTGGGAAGAGTTCGAACAAAATCATTCTAGAATTTCCGATCATGCCAGTGAGGCAGATGAATATTTCCGTCTAAATACCTATCAGGTAGGCAAAGACCTTTATCAGTCTGTCCGCATCCTCTTATCATCTTACGGAAAATCATCAAAATCAACTCAACCAGATGGGGAGGTTGATGAATTGTCAGCAATGCAGCGGACTAATTTCAGGGCACTTAGTCGACTTATTAAGAGCATCAAGGTTGAAAATATATCGGATAAATGGGAACTCGAAGACGAGCTAAACGGCGTTCAGTCTATTTGGAAAATTATCGACGCTCAGCATTTGAAAATCGATCATATACTTGCGGGTGGAGATATATCGTATGACGAGGAATTCACTCGTCATGAGTTAGCTTACAAAAATATCAAACGTGAGCTAAATAGGAAAATCTCCTCTACGACTCATTTAGAAAAGGTCACTCCGAAACTTGAGATACCTACGTTCAGCGGAAATTATAGTCAATGGCCAACCTTTTATGATTTGTTTAGCGAGACAATTCATAACAATAATTCCATCACCAAGGCCCAAAAGATGCAACATCTTAAGGGTAAGCTCAAGGGCGAAGCTGAACGACTCATCTATCATTTAAATGTCTCATCGGAAAACTACGATACCGCATGGGAGATTTTAGTCCATCGATACAACAACGAGCAAGCTCTTTTCACTCATCAAATCGAAATATTTCTCAATCAGCCCAACATTCAAAAACAATCATCATCCGAAATCAAAAGGTTATATGACACTACTACGGAGTGCATTCATGCTATTCACAATCTTGGCGTCAATACTAATGCGTGGGATCCTTTATTGGTGCACCTTCTATGTAAAAAACTGGATACGGATACCCAGACTGATTACAGAGAAGCACGCGTCGAACCGCGAAAATTACCTAAGTTAGACGAGTTAATGACATTCCTTGAAGGTAAATTTACTGCGTTGGAACAGATAACCAAATATGATAAGGAACCCGCTACATCTATCAAACGAACCCCAAATCCAAAAGTGCAAAATAATTATTACAAATATAATAATTATAAAGGCTTTAATCATCGAAATTATCAAGCTCAAGCTATTCATATCTCGAAATGCGCAGTTTGCAACCTAAATCATAATCGCAATTTGTTTTCATGCAAAAAATTTATTAACATGACTCCGGATTTACAAATGAGAATAGTTACACAATCAAATATTTGTAAAAATTGCCTATTCTCTCACGACGGAAATGAATGTACTTCCACCAAACGTTGCAAGTCTTGCCAAGGCAATCATCATACCATACTCCATGAAGCGTGTATGCAATCATCAAAACATCAATCCTCATCATCATCGTCTACATCGGGTCCGTCCGCAAAAACACCCAACAAACAGCCTAATGCCAATCATGTCGCAGTAGACGATGAAGAATTACTATTAACCACGTTATCGATCAATGTAAGGTGTTCTGACGGTACCTATATAACCCTAAGGGCTCTCCTGGACCAGGGGTCTCAAATATCACTTATATCGGAGAACGCTGTGCAACGACTAGGCTTACAGAGGCGACGTTACAATGCGTCCGTGTCCGGTATAGGTTCAGGTGCTAGTCAAAGTAAGGGTTTAGTATCTATCGACTGTCAATCTATCTACGGCGAT